TTCTTGATCTTGTGCGGGGACGGTGAGGCATGGCTACTGGCCTTTGAGGACAAAGGGCTCGACGCGGAGCTGCCCTTCTGCCGGACCCTCCTGGGCGGCGTGAGCAAGGCGTCACCGTCAGCATCACGTTTCTTGCGGATCTTGCTCGCCTCAGCGGGAGGGGCCTTCTTCGTCTTCCCGAGCTGCCCATCTCCACCAGGGACCTCCTTCAAGAACAATGGACGGACCCAACGGTTCGCTTCGCCCAGTTCCGAAAGCAGATGGACCACATTCCTCATCAAAGCCCCCTTCTTGATGATCGCACCATCAAAGGAACCCGCATTTTCCACAGTTGTGGCATGAGAGACAATCTCCGAAGGAAGAGCCACCCTGTTCTTCTTGTCTGTCGGGTCGACGCCAGCTCCGTAGCAGAGGAACCCCTCAGTCGCGTCCGAGTTGATGTCGATGGACCAATAGGCATGATGGTCCCAGAACTCCTGCTGTTGCTACTTAACCGTGATCACATCAACAAAGCAGAAGGACAACTTGATTCATCATTACTTAACTGTAACAAGAAAACTCGCCATTTATAATTTAGTCTGTCAGACTGTCAGTGCCCATGCATGTCACGTAACTCCAGTCCTGGACCTTGTCGCTGATGGGCCTCCAGTCTTTGGCACGCTTGCCAAAATCAGCCCATCTTTCCTTGAACTCTTCGAGGAGCCGGCTCAAAATCTTTGTCGGAAGGGCCGATGTTGGACTCATGTGCACAAGGAACGCAAGGATCGCTGCCAGCTCCTCCTTCTTCGTCTTTCGGGGAAGGACCTTCAGCCATTGATGGGCCTGCGGGAGCAAGTCGGAGAGGATGTCCAAGAGCTTGGGCTTGGAGATGAGCCTGATCTTGTTCATGTAGGGAGCCAGTCTGTCCTCATCCTCGTCGTCGCTGGAGGAACCATCCCACACCCCTTTCTTGACGGACGCCAACATTGAGGAGCACTGCGCTGGATGGGCCCGCAGCCATTGGATCATCTCTTCCAGCGTGGCCTCCTCCCCCTCAGCCATCGTCGTCTTCGCTGCGCAGCGAAGATTCTTCTTCGCGGCGGCCTCCTTAAGAAGGACCTTCTTCTCCATCTTCTTGCTCGCAACACCTTTCTTCATCGCCTTCGGCAT